TTCGCTTTGTATAAGGCCGCTAGCATGTCTCTACCGGCAGAATCGGTAGCTTGGTACTCCTTTGATGAAACAGATGCTTTTGACAGACTCATGGTCGTAGTTAACGCTAACACCTGTTAAATTAACAACAGCAACAACGTCGTAGAACTGCATAATATTATTATATATATAATATTATAATAAAGCAATGGTGATTCCCGCCTGTTGAAATTTCAAATACAGACATCCATTATGCTTTGAGTTGTATGGCTCAAACATTGGCAACAAACGTGCCCTGTTCTCAAACTAGTATGATTCATATCTTGTTTATTCATGTTAACTCGTTGACACCTGAGGCTGCATCCCTACAGTTACAACCCATTTTGTTTTACACGCAATCAATTCAATAACCACGTTCATTTTATTGACGCACGGAAACAGTATGGCAGTCAGACTCAAACAATGCCGCTAACAACAGATTTACACTATTAGTTTACCTAATGTAAGAAATCATAATTATGTTTAGGTCCACTAGAGTTGATGAACTAAACAGGTAAACGTATTCAGCAAATGGAAACAAATACGACATGGAAAATCGAAACGATTTCGGACCTTTTCCTTCAATAACGAAATATACTGATTGTCAAAATACAGTACACGCAGATAACTTTGGCTGCTGCTTTTGTAGACTCCTTGATATATCGAAATTTTTATATAAACAAGTTTATAAACATGTCCATGTCGATGTGAATTAAAGCATAGACCCTCTAAAAGAGAGGGTCTATGATTAAACTCAATTGCGTTTACTTTGCAGTGCGCCATTTGCATGAACAAGAACATATACCAGGCATATTTCATTTCAATTAGCGCTCATATTTCGAGGTTTTCTAAATAAAATCGTGAACAAAGTGTATATACTCACGTAAAAACTTGAACGCAAAGAAGTCGCTAGTTGTGTATAAGGAAATAGAATTATGATCGAACTGCGTCACAAACTAAAACTCGAGAATGCACCTAGTGATTTGTTTATGTACCCACGTGATACCCAAGAAACCTGGAACATTGCCAAATATGCTTTCACGTTGACCGGTTTAAACGATCAATCAATCACTTTCCATTCAGAAGTTTATTTGTTAGTGGCGGGGGTTACTAAAAGGCTGCCTTATAAACGTGTGGTCAGGGTATACTCGATTATACAAAATACAGAGCTGTGATTCTTTGAAATAAACAAGCAAGTTAAGTTAAAGAACTGAAGATATCATTAGAAAATGAACAATATATATATATATATGAACAACATAAATATATATATATATATGGACAAGGGAGGTCATCTTGGTTTCCTAATTAACTAATTAATATACCTGTCAGGTAAACTGCATCTCTACATTAAGACATACTTTTATTACAGTCTTATTAACATAATAGTAACAGTGGCCAGGAAAGATGTTTAGTATTCTCCAGATCTTGCTGAATGAATACATGTACCAATAAAGAATCAAAGAAAGCTTAAAAAGAACTCCCCTGTCCCGAAGGTATTTGAGGCATGATGTAAGGAATATTGCATTACTACATTAGAAGCACATCTTCAATACAGATAAAGCAAAAATTGTGTTTATTGCATGCAAAATCATTGAAACATTTCTTATTTTGACCATAGACTGGATCTTTATAGCATTATTGAATTTGAATCTGCAACAGGACTTAAGATATTACAGTTATGCATATTATTGTGATCACATGACCATATATACACCGTCAGATGGCTTCATTATAGCACTGATTGCATGTTACTATCTGCAGCAGTGTTTAATACATTAGTTATGTACATTGAGGACACATGAAACAATACTTTTTAGAAGAATATGCATGGATTTCAACCCTGAAGTAATCAGATCTATGGATTACCAAAAGCTCATATATACCCAAGTTCATAAAAAATTGATGAGTGGTACATGTACTCAAGTTATCTGTAGAGGTCTATCTTTCATCTGATGAGTCGTCGAGATATTGGTGGAAAAGCAAAACATTTGCTAATCATAGATATTAATATACCAACTAAGTCATTAATATGCACAAGATTTCAACCAAAGTCTAATCAGGTCTGAACATTATCCCAGAGCATCTATGTACCAAGTTTCATTAAAATCTGATAATTGGTTCTTGAGATATCAGTGGAACAGACTCAGACAGACACATTAACCACAGATAAGAGACTCACATTGCTTCACACACTAGAAAACAAAATCAATCAAAGAAAGCTTAGAAAGAACTCCCGTGTGCTGAGAGTATTGGAGACACATTAAAAATTAATTCAAAATTACTTGAACTTGAAATATTGATGGAAATAATAATATCTAATATGAACTAACTAATATGAACAGATTTAAGTGTAAAACTAATAAGGTCTGCACAATGTAAAAGTAATAAGATCTGCGTAATGTAATGTCTATGTACCAAGTTTCATTGAAATAAAAAATTATTCATTAATATGCTAATTAGAGAATTAATATGAACAGATTTTAACCCAAAATTAATCAGGCTGTCTATTGTCAGAGAGCATTTATGTACCAAATTTTATTCAAATGTGATGATCAGTACTTGAGATACCAGTATTAATTAATTATGTTAATTAGGTGGCTAGGAAGCATAAATATTTACCAAAACCTAATATGATGTATAGTCCTAGGTTCATTAAAATGTGATGAGTACTCTTTAACAAGCAGCCTATCGACTGAGATAGCTCCGCTGTTAGCAATGCACATTTCAATTAAAGAACTGAAGACATCATTAGAAAATGAACAATATGTATAGTATCAAAGCAATCGGACTTGCAGTTTTTAACAAGAAGTCGAAAATATCATTTTCTACCAAAAATGACAAAAATATTCACCAAAATTAAAGAATTGAAGATATCGTCACGAAATGAACCAATCTGAGAAAGGTCTACATGTAGTATCTATATATGTAATATCAAAACAATTGAACTTTTGGTTTTTAACAAGAAGTCGAAAAAATCACTTTTTACCAAAAATGACAAAAATATTCACCAAAATTAGAGAATTGAAGATATCATCACAAAATGAACAAATCTGAGAGGTCCACATGTAGTACCAATATATATAATATCAAAGCAATTGGACTTTTGGTTTTTAACAAGAAGTCGAAAATATCACTTTTTACCAAAAATGACAAAAATATTCACCAAAATTAGAGAATTGAAGATATCATCACAAAATGAACAAATCTGAGAGAGGTCCACATGTAGTACCTATATATGTAATATCAAAGCAATTGGACTTGCAGTTTTTAACAAGAAGTCAAAAATATAATTTTTTACCAAAAATGACAAAAATATTCACCAAAATTAGAGGATTGAAGATATCATTACAAAATGAACAAACCTGAGAGAGGTCCACATGTAGTACCAATATATATATAATATCAAAGCAATTGGACTTGCGGTTTTTAACAAGAATTCGAAAATATCACTTTTTACCAAAAATGACAAAAATATTCACCAAAATTAGAGAATTGAAGATATCATCATGAAATGAACAAATCTGAGAGAGGTCTACCCAAGGTACATATACATCAAGTATCAAAGCATTCAGGCTTGTAGTTTTCAAGAAGAAGTCGAAAAAGTAAAACATTGACACGGACGACGACTGACGATCACTCATATGTCATTAAAATCCAATGAGTGGTTATTTAGACATCAGTGCAACAGCCATGGAACAGCAACAAATTAACTAATTAAGCAAATTATGTAGTTAATATGCACAATTATTTACCCCAAAATTAATCAGGTCTCTGCATAGTCCTAGAACATCTATGTCGCAAGTCTCATTGAAATGTGATGATTAGTACTTGAGATATCAGGTGAAAAGCTGAAAATTAACTAATTATGCTAATAAGGTGATTAATATGCACAAATATTTACCCAAAAACTAATTAGGTCTCTGCACAGTCCTCACGTAACTATGTACCAGATTTCATTGAAATGTGATCATTACTACTTGAAATATCAAGAGCTGAAAATTAATTAATTAGGCAAATTAGGTAATTAATGTGTACTGATATTACCCTAAAAACTATCCGGTCTGTGAAGTGTCATATGACATCTATGTATCAAGTTTTATTGAAATATTATGATTAGTACTTGAGATATCAGTGGAAAATTGATTAGGTAATTAATATAAACAGATTTTTACCCCAAACTAATCAAATCTGCGCATTAGTTCAGAGCATCCATGTGCCAAGTTCATCAAAATCCAATGAGTGGTTCTTCAAATATCAGTGGAACAGTCATGGAACAGCTTAAAATCAGTTAATTATCATACAAATTAGGTAATTAATACTCATGGATTTTACCCAAAACTAATCAAATCTGCGTATTAGTTCAGAGCATCCATGTGCCAAGTTTCATTAAAATCTAACAAGTGGTTCTTCGGATATCAGTGGAAGAGTCATAGAACAGCTAAAAATCAGCTAATTATGTTATTCACCAAAAACTAATCAACTCTGTGCATTATCCCAGAGCATCTATGTACCAAGTTTCATTGAAATTTGATTAGTGGTTCTTGAGATAACGGTGGAACAAAAAAAAGTGACATGCATACATAGAGACAGGGTAGCTGCAAAGACTCCCTTTTGTGCTTCGCAGAGCCCACCTACATGTATTTTCCCAGCGTAGGGTTATGAATTTGGTGTAAAGTAATGAAATCATCATCTTGTTCATCAATAAGTGTTATTCTATTACTTATGGTGGTAGGAAAGTGAATAGTTATTATTATGACTTGCCATTAGCTTTCAAGCATTTTGATTAAAAATCCGTGTAAAAATGCATAAATTACTATAGTCTAATTCTTACAAATAATTGTCAAGATCACCTAAGGCAACAAAAACAAATTGCATAAAAAAACTGAATATACTTAAAATATACTTTGTGGTGTATAGAACTATAAATTAATGAATCTCAATGGTTAAATACCATACACAGCATTAATGGAAAAAGCATACAAGGTACAACAATTGGGTTTATTAAAATTATGTGCAGAATGAAACAAGCATCATCTCTCTTCAACAGGTTGAAATGTTTTGGGTTTTGTAGTTTCCTGGAAAAGTTCATGTAACTGTTCAACTTGTTCGTCATTAAAATCATCCAGTTTTTCATCAGGAATATAAGCACCTACGTTATTAGCAATGTCTTCTGGTTGCTTCAATTGGACTGTTAGTGAAGCTGCATATGCCTGAAATAATATAGATACATATTACCTCTTGGTTACAGAGTATACATGTAGAAAGGAACGGCAAAAAAAAAATTGTGTGCTAGGCTATGAAAAACAAAAATAGTGTTAATAAACCTAACCTTTTGAAATGTTACATCCACAAAAATTCTTTTTTAAATTTACTTCATAAAGAATCATTTGAATTGATGTACAAGATGACCAGAACATGACACTAATGCATAAGTCAATGTAATAATAACATTATTATGAGGTTATTACGAGGATACATGTACCTCAAATTATGCACGAAGACAGTACATCAAAAGTATCGACTGACGCGCAGCGGAGGTCGATGTGACGCCGTACTATCTGAGAGCATACTTTGAGGTATTCTCGTAATAACCTTATTATTATACATCTTTTCCTTCCAAGGATAGATCATGGGAATGCTGAAATCCAAAAAGTTTAGAACAGAATCAGCGAACTTCTTTGTGTGGAGTCCGGTCAAACCCTGGTGGCAGCCATGTTTGTTTTTACCATCAGAGGACACTTATATGCGTAATCATCCCATATTTGGAATTCACATTTCCTTATATGGTACATGTAGGATGAAAATACCCCGTAAAATACCGCAAAATTACGGCACGCTGTAACTTATGGTGTTACGGTGACAGATGTATAATAATAATATTTATTAGATGCATTAAATCCTTAGGAAAGGATAAAAAAGGTATGTACGTGGGTTCAATGGATTTATCTTGGCTATTCATGGAGGCTTTAATGTCTCATATCCTCAATCATACTATTCTTGGGAGAGCACAAGGCAGATTAATGCATTCCCTGTATTCTTACTTAGTGCAATGAAATTCACGCAAAAAAATTTTTCCCAAATCAAAACAACTGAAAGCAGTGCGAATGAGTAATTTACCAGGTACATGTACTAACAATAGTCAATAATACATTACAAGAATGCAAGATCGTGCAATTTGACAATGAAATGGTTGACTTCTTTGCCTAACTCTCAGACAAAGAATAAAATAGACACACATCACATACTTGCCACTCCAGCATAAATTGTTTAGCTTGTTCATTAGTTGCATTTTTGTGTCTCTTGAATTCGTCCTTGACATATTGGTCACCAATCGCTCTGATGTCATTCGGCAATAGCTTATGCAACGTCAATACCTTCTTGTACAGCGACCTCACTGCCGACACGTGAGCAGAAGCCATTGCAAATTATCAACGTCACGAAATAAACACACCGTCTCAAATCCTTCGTACTGTAGAAGTCATATGCTATGTATTAGATGTATACAACTGTTAAAACACCGACTGACATTCCGTTGGCACCAGTCGAATCGGGACTCGGTCGATCAGCTGTTAGTTAAAGCAATATATTTACAGAACATATCTTCGCAAATTACTTTTCTTTTCGACTATGATATCAAATGTTACATTGTAGTTTTTCGGAAATACATTGAAGACGTGATATTTCGGTTTATTAGGTCAATTTTTAAAAATGGAGATGTGATTAAATTTTTACTAAAGCGGTTTCACCAACTCGAATACAAGGCTACAAATTAGCAATTTGTTTCCCATGATGCAAAGCGAGAAGTGACATCCTGTCATGAAATGAAGTAACAATGTTTATATTATAATTGTCTTTCCGAAATATTGTGAGCAGTTTTTCAAATATTAACGACTGCCAACTTGTTTGAATAATTGCATAATATATTGTTTGGTTATATATTGTCTTTGAATTGCCCGATTTCATTGAATTTGCAAAATGGCTGATCGACGGGCAGAGTTGGAACGAAAGAAGGCGAGGCTGCAACAAATGAGGGAAGAGAAAAAACGCAAAGAGGAGGAGAGAAAGCGACAAGCGGTGAGTGATTGGACTGAATTATCGGACATTTAGTGATGTAATTACCTAAGTGTTGGGTAGTTTTTGCTTCATAGATTAGCGTATTCACTGGTCAATTCGAATTTACCCCCCTCCCCCGCAAGTTGTCACAAGCCCCTTATTGATTGATTGTATAGTTAGTTGACAATATGAAAATGTTAATAATACTATACATGTATCAGATGATAGTAAATATGTTATAGTGAACTTTATGAAAATTATACAAAACAAAATTGTATGATTCTCATAATTCAATGCTACCAATTATTAAACTCCTAATCATTGTTAGATTTCACTTATTATTCTGATTCAGGTTGTTCAAACAACTATCATGCATTCCATAAATGTATGATTTTTATAAATATTTTATGAAATTCAAATGATGATTGAAAATCACTAAACCAATCGGCATTCGTTTAGGATGCATGGCTGTAAATTTCTATATATTTTATAAATGAATGTAAAACAAAATAATGCTTTAATGAAATGCACAGTAAACACAGTATTTGTTTTAAGTCAATGTGACCCATACCAATGAAATAGCATGAACAGAAAACAATAAATGGCATAATACCTCATAATGTAATTTTTAGTAAATTTTGAAAACAATCTCAATTTACTGATTTACTGATGACCTAAGTAAAAAATTGCAATATCTATGTCAATTCTGCCATCCCAACTATATACACATGTAGTTAAATGTACCATCAAGTTTTCAAGGCGTTGTAATCTGCCAACCAATGAAAAGGTAGCTTTTGATCTGACCTGTTCTACATATTTAGATGTATAACACAAGGATGATTCTGATACATAGAATTCTTCATGCAAGTGCACGCCTACTTTCCTCTTTTGGAAGTATTCCACTCCAGACCTTCATAATATGTCACTGCACATCATGAATAATTAATAGCAATGATTACACCTCAGAATAGACTAGTTGTGGTAATAGACCATTTTTCATTCACTGCAAGAATTACATTACATGTATGTGTGAAATAGAATGAAAAACAAAAGTCATAGCATTGCAGTATTTCCATGCTTAATAATATACTATACATATTTGTTGATGGTATTATTGGTATGCTAAGGGTATTTCATCATATTGCCCTCTGAAGATTGGCATTTTGACATTGAGATATAAAAAAAGAAAATCAAATCATTTGAATTTTCAGGTAGATGCTCAGTCCTCACCTTTCAAAGTGAACAGAGATTCACCTATTTCATCTGACCAAGATTTTAATGAAACATTGACAGTTAAATTGATATTATGTCTACATGTACATCAGAATCATGTGTTCATATATTTGAATTATGCATAACATCACAGTCACCCAGCAATAGTATGTGCACTTGGAAAATAACAAAAATTACCAAATGAGTTTTCTCCAGCTTTAAATAAATGGAGATAAAAATGGTGATTATGTATTTCGCTATCACCAGTGAGACCAGGAATACCTTTTTAGTTCCCGTTCGGAGGCAGTCTGAAAACGGGGACTTATGTTTTGACCCTTGTGCATCCGTGTTTCCGTGCGTCCATGCGTGTGTGCGTGCTTGCGTCCGGACCTGTATCTTAGAAATGCCTGGGCCAATCATAATCAAACTTCACACATACATCATACATGATATTATACATATGCACATCACTTTGTTTCACGATCTGATTCAAGACGGCCGAATGGCAGACATAATCAAGCATTTCTCGATGGATTTACAGATAGATTTTGTTCAAACTTGGTACCGTACTCGACCGTGTTAGCGCCCAGGGGCCTCAACTCAGAAAATCACGATTTTGTAGGGTT